TTGAACTGAATCACAGTGTCTGGTAAGAATGTCCATGGGAACTCCTGAGATTCCTAGATATTCTTCCAGAAGCTCTCTTAAACCCTGCTTTCTGAATTTGTGTACATGGAAATTGTATTTTATTAATTTAATTTTCCCTGTCCTCTAAACCCTAATGTATTCCTCAAGTGGCGTCTTGACACAGCTGACTCAGTACTTTTCCATTCTTGGCCCCTTCTCCTCCCATGTCCTCTGGGTCTGTAAAGCATGCAGAGCCTTTTGTCCAGGGTTTCTTAGTACCAGGACACTTTCCCTCATCTACATTGCACACACCTGATCCTTGTCACTGCCAATTAGTGGGGGAAAATGCCACAGGGAGAAGCCAGTGGTATCTTCCTTTTGGTGTTTTGCTTTATATTGTTGGAGTTAGTGAATAAAGACTTGACTGTTATTTTTAGGTTGGGTCCTTATCCTACTTGACCATGTAGATACCTGGCAGCTCTGACAGATCTCAGGAAACATTTGACCCCCTTCCTGTGAAAACTATAATTTTAATGAAAAAATGCTGAAATCAGAGAGGTTGAGTTCAAACATCCCTCTTCTGGGCTTTCATATCTGAATATCAATATCTAGATTGTTTTGTTGTATAGATCATTTCACACTGTTCTGTGTCTTGATTTCCTGTTCTTTGCCCAGCATTAAAGCCACTTTAAAATAGCAACTAGACTTAATTTGGTTTTCTGTCCCAAGACATGGCTTATGCCTTTTATATAGAAGAGTCTCAAATGTCTGTCAAATGAAAAAACATACTTGTCTAAAATAATGCAGACAACAAGTGGTAGATAAATGTTTCAAATGCTGGTTTTCTGACATCAGGTTTCTGGATTTTTCTGCTATGATGGCAATCTATATTTTAGATTTGTGGCATGTGAAGGGCCAGGGAAGAATAGGTAAAGATGTATAATTCTGGGTAACAGAATTTTTCACTACCTATATTTGTTTTCTATTGTTACTGTAACAAATCGCCACAAATTTAGTGGCTTAAAGAGACAAATTCATTGTATTACAGTTCTATAGGTCAGTGTAACATGAGTCTCAGTAGGTTAAACTTGGTGTCAATAGAGCTGATTTTTTCTAGAGTCGCTGTGTGAAAATCTGTCTTTTCCAACTTCTAGAAGCTGCACACATCCCTTAGGTCATCATATCCTTCCCTCCTCTTTTAAGCCAGTGTTGTTTTATCTTTCTGACCATTCTTTGGTATTCATATTGCCTTCTCTCTGCTATAGCTGGAAAGCTTCTCTGTTTTTAAAGACCCATGTGATTATATTGGGTCCACCTTCATAATCCAGTCATTATCCCTCCTCAAGGTCCTGAACCTTAATCACATCTGAAAAACCTCTTCTGCCATGTAAGGTGACATATTCCCAGTTTCAGGAGATGTAGATGCACACACCTTTTGGGGAACCATTGTTCTGCCTACTACAATATCTAAATTAGTAGTTCTCCAGATAAAGTTGTTTATGTCTAAATTAATCTTTCTCAAAATGTACCCAGACCAGCAGTGTTTTTGTTTTTTGTTGTTTTGTTTTTGTCACCTGGAAGCCTATTGGATCAGGAACTCTGGAGGTAGGGCTAAGCAAACCGTTTGTAAGCCTTTCAGGTGTTTCTAATGTACAGTAACGTTTGAGAATATTCCAAAGCATTTTTATACTTAGCCTGCTTCCATGAGGTAACTATATCTGCATTTCAGATAATCCAATTACCTTCAGTAGGAAGCACTACAGCTGGGTAGCAATCCTAGGAGTCAGAGAAGATCAACGTGCAAGTGCTTATTAGAATGTCTGAGTGCCCGCATTATCATTAAATTTTTGGAGACAGTTGGAAACAAATGAAAACGTTATCATCTCCGGTTGCAGATTAGAGAGTTACTGAAGGTAGGCTTTCAAAGAGGAGGGAGATAAAAATAATATATCCCACAAATCTCTTTCAGAAGGAAATGATTTCCTGAAGCTGCTGAGACCTAATATTGTGAATTACCATAGTTTGAAGAAGCTGCTTCTTTTAATCCATTTATATTTTCCTTCCTGTAACCAACTACTTAAGTGTTTATTCACATCCACACTAAGACTATCACTGCGTAGGTGCTATATAGTGGGTAGAGAAGAAAATATGACCCAGTTACTGTCCTTGACAAACAAAATATTGAATGGGAGGTATAACTCATATATAATAAAACCACTTAAAAACAGTATTCTGCAACATATAATTATTTCAGCAAAGTATTCACTTAGCAATATAATTGAAGTGGGAAAAACCATAATTTTGTCCCAACCATAAAATAAATCATCCGTCCTCCTATACTGTATAGCTAACAGGGATGGTATAATTTAGTTATATGATCTAGACTATTTTTTAGGAAAAGGAAAGTTATTTTACTTTGAGTAAATTTAAAATTTGTCTACATATTCCCTACTCTGTCATATCTTTCTGTGACAAAATCTAAAATATCCCACTGAATGGTACTGGTTATTTGGAGCTGAAATAGATCTAGTCATAAAATGCCAGAGACCTCAACCAGTCCATGTCAGCTTATTTTGTGCATCAGAACACTGTGACACAGCTTTTTAATCAGTAGGAGAAATAGGTTAAAGTCTAAAGTCCCTTTTCCAATTCAACTGAAGTATGGCAGCTTGGACTGATTGCTAGACTCAACAGAACTTCTAATACACAGCACACTTTGTTACATTTCCAGAGTATAGTATAGACCTGTAAATTTAGGTTTAAAATATATTTATTCATTTTTTTAGCAATTGTGTACTAAACTATTGCAAAAACAGATGCTATTTGATTTCCTATTTCCCCTTTAAATACTGTCCTCTTTTATCTATTATGTTTCATGTACATACACATGTGTTTAATATCAGTTTACAATTCTGTATATTCTGTCTTTTGATATTGTGGAAAAATTTCCCCTTAGTTACCAGGACAACTTAATCATCTGATGTGACAGATACACAGATGGCATTGAAAGCTTTTAAGATTTCAAATTTAGATAATTTATTTTGCTTGGTGATTTTTTTCCTTAATTAATTGAGTAAAACAGGGGTAACAAATCTTTAGACTCTTTTTAAAGTGTTATATATTTTCTTTATGTGAGATTGTTTTCTTATCAAATTTAAATACAACTATCTACATATATATATATACACACACACACTACATATATATACACTATATGTTTATATATACATATAAGCATGTATATATTTTTATATATATGCATAACATTTAATTTACAGTTCCTATGTATCTTTCCATGTTCAATCTCATTTTGGTTGTGTATATGAAATCCATAGACAATTGACTTAGGTCTTTCTTATCAATAAATGTTTATTTTGTCCAGATTTTCTTTTACAGAACAGCACACTCACTTTGAGGAAAATATTCTCTATTCTGTACTAATAACGTATTTCAGGAATGGGCTGCCTATTTTATTACCTTGCTCACTTGTCCCTCCTTTGCCTTTCCAGTGCTAAAAGTGCAAATATATGATTCTAATCTATGCTGATAGCCATAGTAATGGCCCGAATTAAGAAGCTAATCAGGGAGAATTAAACCAATATAACAGAATAATAAAAACAAGCAATGGAGACAAAGTCCTGGATTGCAGTATAAATTATAGTTCTCAGTGTACTTAAGGTTAGGTTGTATACCTGTCCTTCAGTTACAGGAAGCAATATATTTTCCTCTATCCTTAATGTATGTTTAACTGATCTTCCATAAAAATTAACTCTGGAAAATTGATTTGCATTTCAAAGATATCTATAGTTTTGTGGTCATTTAAGCTAAAAAATATTAAGGATACTCAACTGTGTGGAAAGTACTTTTCTAGACAAAACAGAACATAATTTTTTAAATGTAAGTTGATCAGTCTTATCTGTGTGTGTATTTGCATGCATAAGTGCAAACATTTGTTTTTGATCATGCATAACACTCAGGAATGCAGAAATATAGGAGAAATGTCAGAATAGATTTAGGGCTAACAGAGAGACTTGACAAAAGGCCATAGGGATTCAAAGGAGTGGCTTACACTCAACAAAGACTCGCTATGCCTGCTCACTGTGCTGGGCAGCAGGGAGGATGCAGTGATCAGAATATCCTGACCCTGAGAGGTCTTTGGTGTTGGCTAGCTGATTAGGATGTCCCAAGAACTGAAATGTGTGGGTGGATGGGTACAATCTTACTTTATTTGTATAATCTGAAAATCTCTAGATCTGAGAAGTAAAAATCTGACAAAAATCACCACAATAATGAGATACAGCCCCACAAGCAATTCCAGACAAGCTAGTCTGTGGCCCAAGAACACCTTGATTTAAAGGAATGGTGGCACCATTTGAGTCAGAATCTGCCATACAGCCAGAAGCTTTCTGCTGTATATCTTCCCAGCCGTCTATACGGTAACATGTGACCAGTTAGTAGGTTGACCATGCATTAGAGAAAGGGAAATAATTCGACATCTTGGATATTACAGATAAACTGCTTTGAACGAACAATTACTGGTGACTCAAAACACTACCATGGTCCCAGTCATTCATGGTAGGGACTCAAAGAGGTTGTGTCGTGAATGGAGTTCTGGCTTGAGCCTTTCTCGTAGTGAACCCAGTGGGCTGTGAATCCTCTGTGAATATATTCCTAATCCTGAATACCTATAGGGATAGATGCAGTAATTTGAAGAGTGTTCATGTGTTCCCCAACCTATAAAATGAAAAATATGATGTTCAAGTAAGCCAGATTGAGCCACCAGAACTTCCTCTCAACTGCAAGAATATTCAAACAAAGTATTTACCACTTTAATGGAGGAATTGCAGAGATTAGTGCGGCCATTAAAAACCAGAAACATACAGGAACAATGACTACTACCATATACCCATACAACTTACTTATTTGGTCTGTAGAAGATAAATTTTAGATACCAACAGTGGATTATTGTAAACTTAATTAGGTCTTTATTCTCATTACAGTTGCTGTGTCAGATGTGGTTTCATTGCTAGAACAAATCTGCTGGGATTGGTAAGTGACTATTAATCTAGTGAATGCTTTTACCTTTATGCTTGTTATTTAAAGATCATCAGAAGCCATTTTCTTCCAACTGGCAGGGCCAGCAATACAACTTCTCTGTCTTCCCTCAGGGCTATCTCAACTCTCCATCTTCGATTGCCTCTGTATTCTATAGGATATCATTCTCCTCCATTACATTGGTTATAACATGTTCTTTTGACCTAGTAGCAGAAGATAGCAAATATTCTAGACTCCTTTGTAAAGGCATGTATGCCAGACAGTGGGAAATATCCCACAGAATTTCAGGGGTCTGTCATGTCACCTAGATGAAATCTGCTGGGGTCCAGTTATTTAAGACAGGGAGATTTATTTTTGTAATGGACATTTCTGCATATGACACCTTGTATAACTAGAAAAAGACACAATATTTAGTCGATCTTTTTGGATATTGGAGGCAACATCTACCCCATTTGGATGAGAATCTCTGATCCACTTACAAAGTAACCCAAAAGATGCCAGTTTTGAGCCAGACTTAAAACAGTAAAAATCCCTGCAACAGGTACAGTATTCCATAAAAACCAACTTGCCACCTGAGCCTTATGGTCCAGAAGATATAATTTTGCCTGAAGTATATTTGAAAAAATAGAGATGCTCTTTGGACCCTTGGACTGCTCCTTAGATGCAAGTCCTGGAGTCATGAATAAGGACAATGTGACTATAGCTATTGAGTCAAAGTCAAGAAGTCCCCAAAGCTAAAATATATGGTTTTAGGAATGAGGATATGGATCTTTTGGTAGATGGAAAACATTAGGGGCTTGTTTGATTGAACTGTGTGAGCAGCTTCTCATAGCAGAAATTAAATGCAATGCCTTGTTTATTGGCACAAAGTGGCTGTCTTATTTCACACTCCCATCACTTCTACCAACTCTACCCTGATGTCTGCTAATTTAAAGAAAAAGATGCGAAGGGGTGAGAATGAGGCTTACGATTAGAGTGTTTCAGTTATGGTTGGCGTAACACTCTCCTGTGATGAGGAATTGGGCTGTTGCTTTTCTCTTTATTGGGAAGTTATGTATGGCTAACTATGTGTGTACAGATGCCAAGTTTGTTTGTTCTGTGTCAATATGCTTCAACTGGAACAGAATTTCCTTTTTTACATATTGCTTGTCTAGGATTGGTTACAAGAGAGATCTGTGCAATATTTGGAAGTGAAAATTAAATGGCTGCCATTTTTATGCTTGGGGGTCAGAGTAAGGTTAGGCACTATTGTAGCTCATGCATGTTGTCAGCTAGCAGCTGGCTGACATTGTTGGCATGTGATAGCATGCCATGTAGCTTCCTCTAGGTCACTGTTTCCACTTCTCTTGACCATTGGGTCTGTTAAAACGGCACCATTGTCTCCTCAGATCATTGAAGTTGGAAACTTAGATTGGTGAAAGGCTAGCTTGGGCTTCATTTTATCTTTGTGAGTTCCAGCTTGTCTTCATGGATTCCAGTGTGTCCTCAGTCTTCTTACCGCCCGTCCATCTTCCTTCCCACCTGACAGCACTGCTGGTGCAGATGCTTCCCGGAGCTGCACCAGACGCCAAGTCAACCCATTTACATAAACTGTTTATCTAATTATCACCATTATCTGAGGTCCAATTCATATAATCATCCCCTTATTTGAAATCACTTCTAGTGGCCATCCTGACTGATACAAAGGAGAAAAAAATGTGATACTCTTAGGAAATGCAGTTTATCACTTGATACATATATGAAAAACTTCTTAGTAAACTAGAAATGGTAAAGGACTAGCTTAATTTGTCAAATGTATTTCAAAATATCTCCACTAAAAGTCATACTTAATAATCAATGATTGACGGTGTTCACCTTGAGATCAGGCATAAAAGTATTTATTCTATTATTAGAAATTCCAGCTTTTGTAATAAGGCAAGAAATAGAAATTTTAAGAAATGGAAAAGATGAAGCACTTCTTATTTAGAGATGACTTAATATATACAGAGAAAATCCAGTAATGTAGAAATAAACCATTACAGTTAAGAAGATAAGTTTTCCAGGGGACTGGATAGTAGGGCAATTATAATATATTTTTATATATTGACAAGAACATTCAAAAGTGAAATTTAACGGTTCATAGTTTTTTAGTAGTTGCAGAAAACTTTAGTTACCTAGGAATAAGACTACTGAAAAGTGTGCAAAACCTCTGTTGTGATGAATACCAGAATTGTGTGAAATTTATCTAAGAGAGTTTATTAGTTTAGCTGGGTTGCCAAAACAAAATGCCACAGACTAGGTGGCTTAAGCAAGACTTTTTTTTCCCTTACAGTTCTGGAGGGCAAGGTCCAAGGTCAAGATGTAGTGGTTGGTTTTGGGCCAGGCTCCTCTTCCTGGTTTGTAGATGGCCCCCTCTTGCTGTGTGTTCACACGGCTTTCCCTCTGTGCTAGCCCAGAGGCAGAGAAAGAGATCTCTGCTGTCTTTCTCTCCTCTAAGGATACCAGCCCTATGGGATTATAACTCCACTCTTGTGGCTTCATTTAACCTTAATTGCCTCCCTAAAGGCCCTATCTTCAAGTACAGTCACATTGGGAGGTTAGGGCTTCAACATACACATTTTGGGGATGGATACAATTCAATCCATGACAGAAACTGTTCACTCCTACACTGTTTACAGTAGCCCAAAACAGGAGACACCTTAAATAACCACCATCAGTAAAATGGTTAATTGTATTGTGATTTTTTCCTAGTGTGAACTATGGGATGCTCTACAGCAATAAATAATAATAAAGAAATTTTGCTACATGTGGCATGAATATTACAAGTCTACTGCTTAGTAAAAGAAGCCAAATTATAAGTAGTACTCATTATATGATTCCATTTATATACAAAAATAATCTATCATGTTAGAATTCAGGATACCAATCACTTTTGTAGGGGAAACAATAGCTAAAGGAGAATAAGAAGACTACTGGATGTTGGAAATGTTCTATTTATTCATCTGTGCTGTGATTACACAACATAGATCTGTTTACTTGGTAAACAGTCATTCAGTTGTATGCTCATGATTTTTTAAACTTTTGATAGCCATATTGACATGTTTTTCAGTAAAAACTTATTTTAAAGTAAACAGTAAAAATTTGGGAAATAGTGCTACTTCCCTAATTGTCACTGAGTTTATGGTGACAATTTACTTGTCACTGAGATTCTGGTTTTGAGTTAGCCAAGTGTACAAGTATATAAGAAAATAAAATCTCTGCATGAAAGCTTAACTATTTAGTGAATCAGTTAAAAAGAGATAAAATCAAACAACATAAACAGGAACTTATTTTATCACCCTTTGCCATCCCATTCCAGACACTGCCCCAAACATTTCCCTTATATATCTACTTTCTTGCCTTGTTTACAATGCTTTTACAAAAACTGTTTACTGTCTCTTTCATCTCAGCCAGGAAACAGCATTCACAACTCTCTGTGACACTGGATTTTGTTTTATAGTACAAGTGTTCTAAACATGCCTAATATCTTTAATCATAAACTATATAAAACAAAAATATCATGGGTGCATTGTAATGTTTGGAACAGAGAAATCAGCTTAATTAACAGTTGTTAAAATTGTTAAATTTTGAATGTAAATGAACTTAGAATTGGGATAGAAATTCCCTCAGTGAGTGAAGCAGAAGAAAGATAAATTTTAATTGAGGTTTTCTATGTATTGATAATTTTTAAATATGTGGATATGTGGCAGTGTCATATCTAGTGAACCCTAGATCTCTGAGAAGAAGGCTTCTCTAAAGGATAAAGACATAGAAGTGAGAGAATACTGTATATATAACTTGGCTAGGTAGATACAATACACACTAATTGCTGGAGCTTCCTCTGTCTCTGCCTAAATTGAAATCTGGTAGTGCTGAATTTTCCACTTTGTAGATATGCCCAAAATGATTAAGTCAGATTTGCCTCTTTAGTCTTTTCCAGCATGAGTCAAATTTAAAGTATCAGAATTACCTAGAGTAAAAGATAGATTCAGTGAGTAAAAGAGAGATTCCAGAAACTTGTCTAGTTCCACAGATTGGTTATATTGATATATATTTAAAAAATCATTTTTTTTCAAATAACATACCTACATTAAATGAGTAAAGCAAATGTTCGTGTGTTCTTTCCTTACTAAGAAGAAATAGGACATTTCCTCACCTCTAATAATACGTGATTCAAATTTTAAAAAGAATTTCAGGGACTGCTGGAGAAAGAGCCTAATGTGCTTAATAAATGCTTTCAATTAAGAAGAAAAAGTCATTTGGAGTAGAAGAAAAGCTTGTCCTTTTTTCTAATTTGTAGTTTTTCAGAAACTTCAAAACTTGAGAAGTTCTTTTGTTTAATGTAATACAGAACTTCCTGTAAATGCAGTTTTTATCTTGATTGCCTATAACAATAGTAATGTAACCCTTAGATCTATGTTTTGGGTTTAGATTCTTTGACTGGACAGTTTTCTGTCAGCTGTGTCCTTTTACCTATGCTCATTTTAGATGTCTTGTTTAATACTGGTTATTTCTGTGCATATGGAGTCATGTGTATAATTGTATGTAAAGCAACAAATCAAACTCAGAATAATTTAATCCAAGTTGTGCAGGTTTACAGATATCAAATCTTTAATGTTAAAAAATATTCTTTAATGTTGTAAAAAGTTGTCTGAGAGAAATGGCAGAGGACGTGCCATCAAAGGAAAACTTCATTTAAATTCCAAGTAGAGAATGACCTGACCACCAGTTAACAAGCTCTGCACAATATTCACAAAATAAAACGTAGTTTGAATAAAAGAGATAAGAAGCTCAGGACAGTCTCCGTGGATTTCACTTGGGAACGTACTTTAAACTTTGCTAAATAAGTGGAAGATATTTTACAAGACTCCCTGCACTGCCTCTGGAAGGGATGGCAAACAGGGATCATCAGGAGTGAATAGGCTGGACGAGAAATTGTGGTGGGAGAGGGTCTCTCTCTCTCTCTCTCTCTCTTTC